ACGTGGGATTGTGCAGAAGGCCCTGTGGACTCAGAGAATCATTTTGGATGAGGTTGCATTGGAAAAAGGTCCTGAAGACTGCATAGGGTTTGGACGATGAGCCATGACGGGTGGCAAGGGCTCCTTTCATGAGACTAGCAAAGGCCTGGTGGGTGGAAAGCCAGAGTTTACCCAGGAAATGAGTGTACAGTGGGAGTGGAGGGCATGATGGGGAGGCAGGTTGAGGAAGGCCTTTAGGGCTGGATCAAGAAGGCACTGAACTTGATCTGTTGGCAGTGGGGCTCATCTCTGCTGTGTGAGATGGAAAAACTCTCTTGGGGGCTGTTGCATCCATGTACGAGCAGGTGGATGCAGAGGCTGTGAGGGCCTCCTACTAGTTAGTCCAGGCAAGAGAAGAGAATTCTTGAAACATACCAGTGCTGAGATTGCTGTGTGTGCCTGTCCCCATCTGTGAAGTGGGGACAAACTGGTTTTGAGTGGGGACAGCGAGGCTGAGGCTGTGTTCTTTCCCTTGAGCGGCTCAGGACACCTGGTTAGAGCCCAGGCAGCTCAGATCTACCGGCCCGAACTCTGCCCTCTATGGAGCCCCTCCATTGTTGGTCTGCGCCCCCTGGCCAGCGCCGTGACTCAGAGGGGTCTCTTTTCTCAGTTTTTCCATCTGTGCCACTAATGGGGTTGCATCAGTGAGGCCCCGAGGCTCTTCCCAGGAGAGCGCTCTGTGTTCTCCCCCTCCTCCTGTATCCTCTGGGCTCCTGGATCTCTAAACAAGTGTCGGGCATGTGTTTCTGGAAGGCTCCAAGGGTGACAGGAGAGGTGCTCGCTTTGGGATTCTTGGCAGCTGCGAAGGAGGCATTGGAGAGTGGTTTCGGGGCCCAGCCGTGCCTCCATCCCTCGGCACCCCCAGGGACACCGGCCACATACGGTGGGTGCCATCTCCACTCTGACCTCTTGACACGAGGAACTGGGATGCTTCGGGAACAAGGTCGTCAGACATCACAGGAAATGAGCTTCCTTCCTCCCGCTGGTCACCTTGGTGCAGAGGGCAGCGGCGGCACTAGCCCCGGGGAGAGCGGGGTAGCAGCCCATGGCCACCTCCCCCGCCCCAACCGCCCTTACGGTGCCACCCTTGGCCTGATGACTCAGCCGTCAGTGAGAACCAGCCTGGCAAGACATGACCGCGCCAGCCGTCGCCCTTATTTAGCTCTATCTGGATGAGCCCTCCTCCCCGTGAGCACCCCTACAGCTCCCTGCTTGCCCTGCCCCCGCCCCCGCCTTTGGGCCGCCCCCCCAACCCCGGTGTAAACCCCACCTCTCCCTCAAGACCCAGTCCTCTCCAGGGGGCTATCTCACTTTTCGCCTCAATTCTTACTGCAAAGGCCGCTCTCCTCAGGTCAGAGATGAATCACTCGGTAATTATTTCAGGTGTGCCATCTGGCCTCCCTCCTCTGATGGGGAGTGGGGGATGGAGGGAGGGNGATCCCGCTTAATCCATTGCTATACAGATGCAGCTTCAGGACAAATCCTTAGCTCTTCTAACTAACTAGATCCTCCCACCCCGCCCCCAGCAGCCCCTAACTCTCTCCTCCTTAGAAGTCCTGAGGCCTGCAGTGCCCCGAATCCCCACTGGTCGCCTATACCATCCCTGCCTCCGTGTTGCAGAGGTGTCCGTGGAGGAGAGGATGGGAGGTCTGGCCCAGGCCCCATGTTGAAGTTTAGGGTCACGGCAGTGAGGCGGCCTGAGGGCACTGAACAGGGAATAAATGAAGTCGCTCAGTTGTGTCTGACTCTTTGCGACCCCATGGACTGCAGCCTACCAGGCTCCTCCGTCCATGGGATTTTCCAGGCAAGAGTACTGGAGTGGGTTGCCGTTGCCTTCTCCAGGGGATCGTCCTGACCCAGGGATCAAACCCGGGTCTCCCGCATTGCAGGCAGACGCTTTACCGTCTGAGCCCCCAGGGAAGCCCGCAGCAACTAAGGCACTTCCTTCGAGCTGGAATCGAACCAGCAACCTAAGGATGTCCACATTTATCGAGCCTACAGTCCTCTGCTCTACCAGCTGAGCTATCGAAGGGTGCATCTGAGAACAGGGAGGTGGGGCCAAAGGGAGGAGGGGGCTTAGGGAAGTGTGAAGGTGCAGAGCCCCCGGGGCCCCTGTCCCATTTAGCCGGCCTGCACCGTTTACGTTTGGAACGACGCCAAGGGCTCCTCTTATTGTGCTGTGGTGTCCAGAAAAACACTTGGACCGCCCACCCCTCTTGCTGCCTCAAAAGTGTGTTTTGGTAACACACACAGCAGGAAGCCCAGGACCTGTGGCTTAGGCATCGTGAACAGGCGAGTCTGTTCCCGCCTGGGTCTGGGCTGTCTGGGCAGACCCCAGGCCTGGAGTGCGTCTGGGCCGTCGCGGGGCTGGAGGTACAAAGGGGCGGGTGTGCAGAGTCTGCCGACCCGCGGGACCTGCCGGCCACTGGCCCCGTCCGACTGCAGCCCCAAGTGGTACCGAATTCAAGGTCAGTTTTACATTCCATGGGGAGGGGTGGGGCAGGTTATTTTCCTCTGGTGTTGGGGGGCTTCTACTCAAAGGCACAGACCCACAGAGAGTAGACAAGACACACCCGGGCTCAAATGCCACACCCGTCCCCCGTCTCAAGGGAGAAGAAACAGGGAAGTGTCTGGGCAAAGAGGTGTGTGTGTGGGGGGTGCTCTCTTGCTTCACGTGTGACTCGGGGGGCAGGACAGGTGGCCCTGTAGCCTGAGGCTCCTCTAGGAACCAAGTCCTTTCTCACCAGGCTGGAGGGGAGAGCTCGGTGGTCCGCAAGCCCGAGTGTGCACAGCTGTGTCCCTGAGGTGTGAACTGTGTTTTAAGCCATCTGGAGTTGGCCGTGGAGATGCCCTCTTGAGGGGTGCCCGGGGTGCCTCTTGAGGTCTACGGGGTCACAAATAGTCGGACAGACTGAGCGAATTTCACACTTCACTTGGTGCCTACGTTCACACTCCAGTGTTAAAGTTGGATCCTGCAGGCTGGGACCCCTTGAGGAGACCACCTGGTGACCGGAGAAATAAAGTGTCATTTATAACACTGGTGGCCCAAGGGGGTCCCAGGCCCCAGGAAGAATTTTACCAGCGACCTCTACCAACACCTCTTCTCCAGGCTGCTTTCAGCCCCATGAATATCCGAGGGCCACGCGGTCTTTTCTGTTTGGTTAGAAATGAAGGGAATATCTGTGACATGGAGGAGAGTGACCCCAGTCCTTCCCGCTCCATCCTGACCCTCTGCTCCATCCCAGAGGGGCAGTCCCGCTGGAGAGAGCCCCAGCCCTGCCCACCAGAGCTCGCATGGCCTTCCTGAGCCTTCAGGGCAGTGAGGGGGTCATTCCTCTCCAGAGCCCACCTGGCCGGGAGGAAACACCCCTCCCTTCTCCAGCCCACCTCACAGGCCTCCTGGGACCAGCAGGGCTTAGCTTCCTGGAAAGAGATCTGAAACCGTGTGGAATTCTCCCGCCTTCAAGCCACAGAGGACAGACTGTGGTCACCGGGACCACAGGGCCCTTTTTCTTATGTGACGCATCAGACCTTGCCTGTGGGCTGGGGAGAGCCTTCTCAGTCGGGGGGAAGGACCAACACCCTCAGATTCCCCTGATGTGACTAGAACAGCAAATGCCTCTTTGAGCAGTGGCACGGCTCACCCTCCCAGCAGGTTTGGCTTTTTACGTTTCCAGCTTAAAGCTGCCGACAGCTTCTTATTCCCTTCCTACTGGCAGAAGGTGTCGTTCCCCAGAGTCACCCGAGAGGGGGTTTGGTTGGAATCGCTTCGTCTCTTCACGTCACCAAGCCAAAGACTGAATTTAAACTCGTGGTCGTTAGACCAAACGCGTCATCACCAGCTATTAACTCCCCGCGGGGCTTGGAGTGTAGGCAGCGCCCCCAGAACTCTCCTGCCAGCCGGTTCCAAGGAATGACGGTGCTGTGACTTCACGCACGGCTGAGCCGCCCCCAGACCCCCGGAAGCCCCTCCTGTCTGCTCAGGAGTGGGGAGGGCTCAGGCGGGAAGGCCCAGGAGGGGTGGGAGGTCTGAGGCCACATTCTGCTTTGCCTCTGACCCCCTCCTCAGAAGCTTTCCCAGCTGACCCCTCACCCTCTGCAATAACACCCCCCCACCCCCCGAGACCAGCGGCTCACCACCCTGAACTGTAGCATCCTCTGTAAGTTCCAAGTCAGCCCACAGCTAAGGTCACATCTCAGGGGCCTCCTGGGAGACGGCAGTGAATGAGGGGAGCACACACAGGTGGTTTAGACACCCCACCACATCCAACCAGCTTCACTCTAGACCCGCCCAGCCTGGTATAAATCCTGTCTCTGCCACTTGCTGGTGACCTTGGGCAAAGGTCTTAACCTTTCCGAACCTTAGTTTCCTCATCTATGAAATGAGCATCATAGTAGTAGCATCCACCTCTTATGGCTTCATTGACTGGTTCCTGGAGAAACGGTTATTTCTGACCGTCCTCCTGGTAACAGCGAGGCCGTGTCCGGAGCAAGCCATGTGGGAGTGGGATGCAGACCTGGCAAACCCGAGCCAGTCCCGTGTCACAGCCTTCCCCTGCTCCCCCGGGTGCAGAGCCACCCCTTCTCCTGCTCCAGACCCTCTGACACCCACCCTCCAAGGACACAGCCCCCCAGTGACTAGGGACGGGGGCAGCTCTTGGGGGGATCCCTTCACTGTGAGTGCTCACACCCCGCCCTCAGTTCCGACCACAGCCCGGGACACGGGATGTCACAATCTGTGTTCGCAGAGGAGGACAGTGGGGCTCCGAGGAGCGGGGTGGCCTTACGAGGTCGCCACACTGTCAGTGGCAGAACCAGAAATCTGACCCGGAGCGCTGGCCAGTTGGGTCACCACCTTCCATCGCCGCCACCTCCCAGGTGCAGGTGGGAGGGGCCCCCGTGGCAGCCTGGCCCCCTGCCCCCTGCCTCACTGATGCCTCCTCTTCTCTTCCTGCCCCCAGTCCCCAGTTTTCATCACCCAAGTTGGACGGGACCTGGTCTCCCAGACGGAGGAGAAGCTCCTTCAGAAACCCTGCAAAGAACTCTTCTCGGCCTGCGTGCAGTAAGTGCTCTGAGTCTTGGCCTCCCCTCCTCTGTCCGGGGGTCAGGACCCTCAGCCTCCTTGCGGGTCTCCGCCCGGCCACCTGGAAAGGGGGCTGCCTCTCAACACCACCCCTTGGAGTGCTGGGCACCCGGGGGCAGGTCTTCAGTGCCCAAGAGCCCCCGCCAAGCCCCCCAGTGGCCCGTGTGTGAAGGGAAAAGAGCCCAGGGTGCCAACTGCAGAGAAACATGTGCTTCGGATGATGTTGAAACCAACGAGCTCCCAGGCCGCTGAGACGGAGGCACGTGTAAAGCTCTGCCCCGGTCTGGCTGGTTTGGAAACCCTTCCTGCCCATCAGCTGCCACCCCCCTTCACTGCTGCCAGAGCGGGGCTGCAGGCTGCCCCCGGCCACACCCCGCCAGCTCATCTCAGGCTTCAGTGTGACACGAGACGCGTCAGTGGGTGTGGTGCCAGCCGAGCACCAATTAGGCTCCATCATCTCGCAAGGATGTGCTGCGAAGCTACATGTAGGCGCTGGGCTGACACCCGTTCCTGTGTCTACACGCGCCCTCTCCATAAGCTGACAGCCAGGGGCACAAACAGACTTACCCGCCAAGATCACAGCAGGCGTGAGGGCACCCTCGTTCAGGCTTGGCAGCCCAGACATTAATTGGGCACCTGCTGTGTGCATGTCACTCAAGGGAGACCTTGAGAGCAAGAATGCAGTCCTGCTTTCCTGGCTTCTTGCCGACGCTCCATGCACTGTGGGAAGAGCTAGGATGTTCTGGGGAGGGTCAGCTTGAGGCCCAGCCCTGTGGCAGGTGCTGGGGAGAGACCACTGTGGGCAGAATCCGGGCTTGGAGGTGGCTGAGGGTCAGCCCTGACAGCGGGTTGGGGGAGGGGGGTCGTGGGCTGCCCCCCTGACCTTGAGGGAGTGGCCATCCTGGCCCCCCGCGCAGGCCCCTGTTCTCAGGTTTGGCTGGACACAGTCTCCAAGGTTCTCTCACTCTGAGTGTCCCCTCCCTTCCCCAGTCCCGCCTGGGCTTGACTGGTCAGTGTGGCTGCTTTTTAAAGGGAACCAAGCCCAGCCCTGCCTGCAGCCAAGTTCAGAACCCTCCAGGGCCTGGCCTGGGACCTGGCCCACAACAGGTGCCCAGTAAATTCTACTGCAGGTGGCTTCACTGGTCCTGACCAAATCCAGAGCCTGTGCCCCTTGGCCTCTTGCCAAGACACCCTCTGCCTCAGAGTCCCAGTCCCTCCTCCGAGCATAGTTAAACATTGCTCAGTTCTCATCTCAGCTCCTGTCCCTCCTTCAGAGAGATCTCCTGGACCCCCCAGGGGCCTCACTTCCTGCTAACTCATGATAACATGCCCTTGGGGTCACTTATTTATTCGTGGTCTGTCCCCCTCACGATGCCACAGCTGCTCACTGCCATGTCCCGGAACCCAAGCAGTGCCCAGGGCAAGTACTGACTACATGTGTGCGGGTCAGTCAGTCAGTCTCAGACAAGCTTTGGAAATGACCGGGGCCTGGCTCACCTCCCACTGCGTCTGTTGGAGGCCCTGTGTGCCTGCATTTCCAAAGTCTGGAGGTGCAGGAGGCCGGGCGGTGACCTGCTGCTATGCCCCTGCCCACCTGCTGCAGAGTCAGGATGGTGAAGTGTTCATCCGTTTGTCCCCTCCGAGCTAGGTCTGTCCACGACTACCTGAGGGGAGAACCCTTCCACGAGTACCTGGACAGCATGTATTTTGATCGCTTTCTCCAGTGGAAGTGGTTGGAAAGGTGAGTGCTTCCGGGGTGACACACCCCACGCACAAGTGTGTACAAGTGTGTGTGTCGGCAGGGTGGGGATGTGAGTTTTTCCCGTGACAAGTTATATAGAAATCAGTTACCTCCCATGGGTCCATGACTCAAATAAAATGGAGCATTCTTTTCCTGTTAATTTCTTGAGTATTCTAGAAATGCTGTATGCTTATTATTGTGCACACAACACACACACACTCATTCACACATATACTCAGCATTCTGTGCTTATTTTTTTGGTTCACTGTCTTTGGGAAGTCTTTCTCTGCGAACATAAAGGCCTGCCATAGTCTTACACTGGGGCTTCCCAGGTGGCGCTAGTGGTAAAGAACCCGCCCGCCAATGCAAAAGACATAAGAGACTCAGGTTTGATCCCTGGGTCGGGAAGATCCCCTGGAGGAGGACGTGGCAACCCACTCCAGTGTTCTAGCCTGGAGAATCCCATGGACACAGGAGCCTTGGGCTACAGTCCATGAGGTCACACAGAGTCAGAGGTGACTTAGCATGCACACACATATTCTTACATAGATGTGCACATTTCTCATGTAACCCTCCCGCCTACTGATGAACATTGGAGATTACTCTCCTTTTGTGTGCAACCTTCCCTAAATAGTGAATAACTTTGTCCATAAATCCTTTTTAAAATATTATTAATTTGGCTGTGCTGGATCTTAGATGTGGCCCTCAGGATCTTCAGTTGCAGCTTATGGGACCTAGTTCCCTGACCAGGGATCAAACCCGGGCCCCTGCATTGGGAGTGCGGAGTCTTAGCCACCAGACCACCAGGGAAGTCCCTGGCCATATATCTGTATGTACTTTCAGAGATACATCATGGATATTCCTAGCAGAGGAACTCCAGGGGCAGGGTTTTCAGCTGTGAGGGGCAGCTAGATCTCCCTTCCCAACTGCTGCCCACTTCCTAGTCCCACAGTGCCCGGGTGTCTGCTTGGCCTCAGCTTCAGCCACACTGTTCTTGGGCTGTGAAAGCCAGGTTTCCCTCTTGTTTACCTTTTCATCTCTAATTGTGGGTGAGACTGAGCATCTTTTCACGTCTTTTATTTGCCACCTTATGCTTTTGAACTGTGGTGTTGGAGAAGACTCTTGAGAATCCCTTGAACAGCAAGGAGATCCAACCAGTCCATCCTAAAGGAAATCAGTCCTGATTATTCATTGGAAGGACTGATGCTGAAGCTGAAAGTCCAATATTTTGGCCACCTGATGCAAAGAACTAACTCATTGGAAAAGACCCTGATGCTGGGAAAGATTGACGGTGGGAGGAGAAGGGGACAACAGAGGATGAGACAGTTGGATGGCATCACCAACTCGATGGACATGAGTTTGAACAAACTCTGGGAGTTGGTGATGAACAAGGAGAGCCTGGTGTGCCACAGTCCATGGGGTCGCAAAGAGTCGGACACGACTGAGCGACTGAACTGAACTGATTCTCTTCAAAGTGCTCCTGCACACACAGCAGTGACTTGGTCAGGCAGAAGTGGCCTCTGTGTGACTGATGAGAAAGGAGAGGCCATGAGTATGTGGCTTGCTGGGTCACCCAAGAGGGGTTAGTGCAGCCAAGGGGGGACCCTGGCCCAGGACCCCCGAGTGGTGCTCTGCCCACTACAGCATCCCAGGATTTGCAGATCAGGGCAATGTTTGCATTAAAGACATACTGTGGGGACTTCCCTGGTGGTCCAGTGGTTAAGACTCTGCCTTCCCACGCAGGGGATGTGGGTTTGAAGCCTGGTCAGAGAACTTAGATCCCACATGCCTCAGGGTGTGACCAAAAATAAAAAACAATTAAATAAATAAACACAACATTGTAAATCAACTATTAGTTTGCTTAGTCATGTCCTGCTCTTTGCAACCCCATGACAGTAGCCCGCCAGGCCCCTCTGTCCGTGGATTCTCCAGGCAAGAATACTGGAGAGGGCTGCCATTCCTTTCTCCAGGGGGTCTTCCCCACCCACGGATTGAACCCGGGTCTCCTGCATTGCAGGCAAATTTTCTACCATCTGAGCCACCAGGGAAGCAAATAAATAAAAAATAAAGCCAGGGGTTGAGCTGGTAGGCGAGGATGGGAGCTCCCCCTCCCACCACCACGGTTCCTGTGCCCGGAGGGCCTGGCACACGCTGCCATAAGTATACACTGTGGGCAGAAAGCCAGGAGCCCTCCTGCTCCTGCACGTGTTTTGGATCTGTGCTGAGTCCCCTGCAGACGCCTAGGACGCAAACCTGGGGGACACGAACCCCCAAAAAGCTGCACTCGCTGCCCTCCCTGCCCTCTTCAGGGAGATCTGAGGATACACCCTGCCCTACACCCTGGGGGACGTTTGTCTCCATCCTGACCGATGGGGTGACAGAGGGAGCAGCGGACGGGCTTCTCTGTTGACACATGGCCCGCCTCTGGCCACCTTGCCCGTGCACGCCATGGCTCCGGGAGCCACGCGTGGGCCACCAGGAGCCCACAGCCTGATCTGAGTCCCAGCTCGGCCTCCTCCTGGGGGGCCAGGGGAGGGCTGCTCCCCTCTCCACCCCTCGGCTTCCTCACCTGTGATGTGGGGATAATAGTAGTGCCTGCCTCGTGGGCGTGGTGAGGATGCGATGAGAGCACAGCTCAACAAGGCTGGCCTCCTTGGGAGGTAAGCCGCTGAATGTCATTGTTGTCATGTGTCGTCACCGAGCCCTTTGGCTCAGCCATCACCACACCTGTCTAATGTCTTGGAGGGAGCAGCTGACCCTTGTGGAGCGCTGTCTGGTGGGGAGATACTCATCTTGCCCCACTTTGCCCCTCAGTCTGGAGCCCTGGGCTGTGTTACACAACCCCGATCTGTGCCCGCCTTCCCGGGGTGGTGGCATGAGGTCAGGACGCTGAACCTGGTCTCCAAAGCAGACTGTCTGGACCCCAGTTCCAACTGCACCGCTTACCAGCCGAGACCGTGGGCATCTCATTTCACCTCTCAAAGCCTAAGCGTGCCCATCTGCCAGATGACTGCAGATTCTCAGGATTACCTGTGTCCGTGAACAAGCTGCTTCGAGCAATGGGGATTGTTACCATAGAGACCCTCAGAAGGGGCCACATCCTTTATCCCTAGAGTGCTAATGATGACATATGACACTCAGAGGCTTACAGAGAACCTTTGGAGATATAGATATATATATATACCTTTCCAACATCTCCATTTTACTGAAGATGCAAGGCTCAGAGAAGTTGAGCGTGATGACACCCTCGGTTGTGTCTGACTCTTTGCGACCCCATGGACTGTAGCCCACCAGGCTCCTCCGTCCATGGGATTCTCCAGGCAAGAATACTAGAGTGGGTTGCCATTTCCTTCTCCAGGGGATCTTCCCAACCCAGGGATCAAACCCAGGTCTCCCACATTGCAGGCAGACGCTTTAACCTCTGAGCCACCAGAGAAGCCATATATATATATATATATATATATATTTTCAACATCTCCATTTTACTGAAGATCCAAGGCTCAGAGAGGTTGATGGGTTAGCCCTGGGTCACACAGCAATGGCCTGGCAAGGCTGGAATCTGAAGCCCAGGTCCCTGGCTCAAGTCCTTCACCCTTAGTTTACCCAGCATCCTGTTCCAAAGGAAGCCTTTAGCTGCGGCCCCTGGCTTTCACTTTACTTGTCAGGACCAAACACATGAAATAGAGAAATGGACTTTTAAAATCAGTGCGTCAACCTCAAAAGAGTTATGCCCTTTTGAGGCCATTAAGCTGTTGAAGCCAGCAAAGCAGGACCCTGGCCTAGAAATGCCCTAGATGACTGACAGCATCCCCGCTTCCCCCCCACCCCCGCCTTTTTTCTTGCTAACAAGATCATGGCCTGTTGGTGCTGTACTGTTGAAATATTAAAGGGATTTTTTTCCCTCCCAAGGTTAACCAAGAAATTCCTCGGAAATTGTATTACACTCATTTCCCCCAGCAGAGGAGCTCTGCGGTAATGTCGACCGACTGTTTGTTCTCCATGTATCGTAAACTGTTAGGCCCGGACGCCTTCATGTGGTTTCGAGGGCAGCTGGAGGAAACGCTTCCCAGGGCCGCATGTTGGATGCAGGCGCATGGCAGGTTTGCTCTAGGCCAGGCTGCGCGTGTGCAAGACGCAGAGCAAGGGGGAGTCCGGCACAGGGGCAGCCTGGACCCCGCTTCCTAAAGAAACACCAGGGAAGAGGCAGTGAATCACACACATGAATTCCAGACAGGCCAGGAAGCGTCCAGAAGAATAGCGCCTAAGAGAATAGCATGGTGCAAAGCTATGATTTCCACTGAAACCCAAATCCTCTTCAGGACCCAGCAGCGAGAAGAGTTTCCATGGGAGATTCATTCAAGAGCCACTGGGTGACCAGGGATTCACTGGTCTTTCTCGAGCTGATCCAGTTCTTTGGCCCACTCCAATCTCATGCCAATCCCCACCCTGGTGAAGATCCTTGGGGTGGTTTGGGGACGCTCAAAGATAGCCCTCAAGAGTCAAGAGCCAATTTTAATATTGTAAAAGCTGTTGCTTCTTCTTACCCATTAATCAATTGATGGCTTTTTCAGTTGTTTTCATATCTTGGCTATTGTGAATAATGCTGCAATGACCATGAGAGTAAAATATACAATGAAGTATTACTCAGCCTTAAAAAAAAAAAATAAGAAGGAAGTCCTGTCATTTATGACAACATGGACGGACCTGGAGGACATTATGCTAAGTGAAATAAACCAGACACAGAAAAACAAGTACTAGGTGATCTTAGTTATATGTGGAATCCAAATAGACTCATAGAAGCAGAGAGTAGAGTGGTGGTCGCCAGGGGCAGGGAGGGGATGGGAGAAATGGGAGATGTTGGCCCACGGTACAAGGCTGAAGTTATGCAAGATGAGTCAGTTCTAAGGATCTCACAAACAACATGGGGACAAGAGTTAACAGTACTTATCATTTACTGAAAATTTGCTAAGAGGGTGGATCTTAAGTGTCCTTGGAAGAAAGGAAGGAAAGAAGGGAGCAGGGGTGGGGGGATGCTAATTTGGGGAGGTGATAGGATGTTAATTAGCTTGACTGGATGATCATTTCACAATGTATACACATATCAAAACATCAAGTTGTACACTCTTTGTCAATTATACCTCATTAAAGCCAAAAAAAGAGGGGGGAAAAACCTGACTCTTCTTAGCCAAACAGGCCAGCAATGAGAAAACACACGCTATCTACAAGGTGGAGGCCTTTGCTTCAACTAAGTGGCAATTTCTTTCTTTATTTACTCCATGAGCCCCACCTTTGCCCCACAAGATCGGAGGTTTGTCTCATTAGGCATTATAAATGGCTTTGGCTAATTAAAATGGGGACTTGAGAGACACAAGGTGATTAGTAATAAATATCAGTGGCGCTAGTGGTAAAGAACCCACCTGCCAAAGAAGGAGACGTAACAGATGCAGGTTCAATCTCAGGGTCGAGAAGTTCCCCTGGAGAAGGGGATGACAACCCATTGCAGTATTCTTGCCTGGGAAAGCCCATGGATAGGGAAGCCTGTCCAGGGTGCAGTCCGTAGGGTCGCAAAGAGTCGAACACGACTGAAGCGACAGAGCATGCACACACACACACACCTTTTGGCAGAAAGGATCTCCTCCTGTCCTGGGGTTCAGGGGAGTCCAATGCCCTCGGTCCTTGGTGCGAGAGTAACCAGCCTGGACGTGGGGACCAGCAGTCTCTCTGTTCCCAGGAGGCCCGTCTTCCCAGGGCACGTCTGCAGGAAGGAACAGCTCGGGCGCCTGGGGACAGGAGGCGCGAGCTGTTCCGCCAGGCAGGTGTGGACGGAGGGCTGCGGTTTCCTTCCTGGCCTCCGTGGGACACCGAGCCTGACTCCTGGGCCTCTCTCTTCTCCCTGCACCGAGGACACAGCTTCCTTCTGAGTGCAGCCGCAGGATTTGCATTTGGGAGAGAGAGGGGAACCGCAGGGAAAGTGCAGTGAGGCAGCCTCTGCTCACATTTTTCAAGCCTCCTGCTCTTTCCTTCCAGTCCAGGGCCGAGGGCGCCCAGCCCCGAGCCAGTGATCGAGGGTCGCGTCTGCAGCGGTGGCTCCTGACGGTCCCCAGGGCGGGGGGTGGAGGTGTGTGCCTTGCCCAGCTCAGCTCCTCTCCGCTCCTCTCAATGCTGCCCTTGTCTTTTTCTTCTTAATTCTGCATCTTAATGCTGTGACACCCATGCTGGATTTTTGCTTTTCTTCCAGGCAACCGGTAACCAAAAACACTTTCAGGCAGTACCGAGTACTAGGAAAAGGGGGCTTTGGGGAGGTGAGTGAACATCCACATATTCATGAAAAGTTTCTGAACTCTTGACACCTTTTTCTGTCCCTTCCGGATTGGCCTGAAAAGTGTCCGAAGCAGGGCTTCTGAGCAAATGGCCGGGTCACGCGCCCCCTGGTGGAGAAGGCGGGTGAGGCTGGGGCCTTGGGAAGGTCACCGGTGTCTGAGGAAGGGAAGGAGGGTGTCTGGATGAAGATGCTCTTGGAGCCAGCCTCAGGCAGGGTTCAAGTATACAGAGGGAAATGTGTGTCCTTGATTGTGTTTGGAGGGTGAAGTGAGGACATGAGGGGCCTAAGTATGGCCCAGCCATGCTGTTAATATGCACCGTTGTACTTAACCTGATCTTCCCCAACCTTGTCATTCCCGTTTTAGAGATGAGGAAAACTGACGTTCAGAATGGTTAGGTAACCCAGGCAAGGTCACACAGCTGAATAGGGGCAGAACTAAGACCAGATCCAAATGCCCTGGGTCTCATTCCTCTAAATTATACAGTCAGAGTTCCCAGGGGTCTCCCATGACATCCCCCCCTCCTGAAATAAGCCTCTCCTACCAGCAGCTGGTGCTTCAGAGTCCCCAGTTATTAGCAGCTGCATCTGGTTAGAAGCTTAGGACACAGAAAATCTAGTTGTCCCCCGAGAGAGGAACAGTTCTTTTGGCCTTGGCCAGCCACCTAAACTGGTATAAATTGCTGCTTCTCTGCCTCCAAGGGCTTGGGTTCACCTGAGATAGCACCAGACCCAGATCTTGGCCGGGCCTTGCTGAGTCCTGAGGCTGGGATACCCACAGGCCAGGGCACAGCTGGCTTTGGCCGCCGTGGTTCCCAGCCGTGGAGACACCGCATCCTGGCCTGGAGGGAGCCTCAGAGCTCATGTGCTATGTGCCCTTGTCTTCTCTCTTGCCCTCAGGTCTGTGCCTGCCAGGTTCGGGCCACAGGTAAAATGTACGCCTGCAAACGCTTGGAGAAGAAGAGGATCAAAAAGAGGAAAGGGGAGTCCATGGCCCTGAATGAGAAGCAGATTCTGGAGAAGGTCAACAGTCGGTTTGTGGTGAGTGTCAGAGCCTGGGGACAGCCCCCCCTCCAGGTGACCGGAAGTGAAGCAGAGCCACCACCCCCCCACCCCCCCGCCGGTGACCTGTGCAGCCACAGGGAGAAATCGCTTCTGGTTTTGAAGGCACCACAACAGACAAGGCTGACCCGGGTCCATCCGTCCTTCAGCATCCCTTTGGCATATTTCTATGGGGATGTCTGGGAGATGAATTCCTGGCGGAGGAATCACTCTGTCAGAGAGCGTGTGCATTTCCCCCAGTTACATCCCCACCAGTTGTGCCTGATGGCACGCGGCACCATCCACCCAGGCTGCCTGCATTCCCCAGAGCTGGCGGGTTTTGTAAAGGGATGCCCAAAAAGGACAGAAGTTCTAACCACCTGATGCACGCACATGATTTTGTGACATGAAAGCAACAGACCCCGTCCTGTCGGGACCCATGAAAGGTGCCAGCTGCCCCTTCTGACTCTGCTTCCTTGCCTGGAACCTCCAAATTGGATGGAGAGGCAGCAATGGGGTGCAGTGGGTGGTGTGAAGCGGCTGCAGCTCCCCACCCTAGTCCTCCCACCCAGCTTCAAGGACCCCTGGGGAAGAGGAGCAGATGTGGGGGTCCCTGGAACCCCACCGCATGGCTGTCTTCTGCTCCCAGGTCAACCTGGCCTACGCCTACGAGACCAAGGATGCACTGTGTTTGGTCCTGACCATCATGAACGGCGGGGACCTGAAGTTCCACATCTACAACATGGGGAACCCTGGCTTCGAGGAGGAGCGCGCCCTGTTCTACGCAGCAGAGATCCTGTGTGGTCTGGAAGACCTCCACCATGAGAACATTGTCTACAGGTGAGCAGGCAACCCCGGGTCCCCCCATCTGAGCCTGAGTGAGTGAGGCCAACCCTTCCATTCTCTGAATTGGCCGCTCATCCTTGCCCTCGCGTTGAGGCTGGGTCATTGCCCTTGAGACAGACTCCCACCCTGGAACCAAGAAAGGGAGGGGGAGCACTTGGGGGGGCCAGGTGTTCCCTCAAAGTTGATGAGGTTGGGCCACTGGTCCCTTCCCACCCAGCGCCCAGGAAGCTCAGTGGAGCCTGGTAGTCTGATCCAGAACCAACCCTTGCAGGACTGCTGTAGGACCCCCACTGAAGCAGGCATCAGAACGAACCCCGGTCTCTCCCATCCCAGGACCAGGTGTCCAGATTCTGTGAGCAGTGGCCTTCAGACTCTTCTTGCAGCCCTCCTCCAAGAATTTTGAAAATCTCTGTGCCCTCATATGTTCTAAGCAGACACCTAAAATAGCCCATTGATGTTAAAATAGTGGCTAATATTTTTAAATTGAACTCATGATATCACTATCTAAAGGTATCCAGTGGAATCTAATTGCTGTAGCAAATTGACTTCCACCATCATGCATCTAGAAAAAAATGCATGAAAACTCTTTAACGGTGAGGAATTTTCTATCCTTCTCTACTTCCTTCAGCCCCCAGAGACTATTACTTTACTGTAATGTATTTTTTGCATAAAAGTCAGTGATCAGCATTCCACTGTGAAATATATGGATATAGATAAGATATTTTAAAAATTCTCACTGACCATAAGGCTCTAAGTGTTAAAATAATTTCTTCTGTTGAATTGCCCTTATAATTATGATTAGTAGGTCCCACTTCTAATTGGGACCCTGGAGGTTTCACCCTGTGGAGCTGGGCACCATAGCAATATGCAAGAGTAGGGAGGAACCTACTTTTCTTCTGTCAGTTGGGAGAAGAGCTATTGAGAAAGGATGGGTGGGTGGGGAGATCCTATAAGATGCCAGGACAAGGCATTATGATGCTAAGGATCTAGAAATGCATATTCTTGAAGTCCCAGCGCATGGGTGACTCTCTCATCACCCACCCCCACTGGGCACACACACCCCAGTTTGAAGACTTTTGTCACAGGGCTGTTGGCTAAGAATATCTTGGGAGCTGAAGGCTTTGAAAATAAGGAGGAATGGTCTTGATAACATGCCCTCCCCCACCCCCCACATCTCCCAATTTATGGTTTTGTGTTGTTTTCATTCAAGTGAGAAGAGAGTCAGAAAATTTTCCCTGAGGGTTGAAAAAAGAATCCTCCTTTTGATTGTTTTTCTCTTAAGAAAAAGGCATCCCTCCAAGTTCTAGCCTTTCTATTAATACTAGGAAGGAAGAGAACCACGGTGCCTCCCTGGCCCGACCACTGGCCATAGCCTCTCTGTGGGTGTGGGTTCTGTGCCCACTAGCCAGCTGTCTTTCCAGCCTGGTGGTCGGTGGTGGCCGATTAATTGAAATGAGGTCTCCTGCCCTTATTTGGAGTGGTTAGCACACCAAAAGCATGGAAATTAATAACAATGGCAACAAAAGTATGTTGTAATAAGTAACCACATACAGACCCCAATTATCACTTTGTGAGCTTGCATCACTGGATGTGGGCACATGAACCTCTCCCCATGAGGACAGCTGCCCTCAGTTTAATGAACAAAGCCAGTTGGTTGAGAACCAAATCTTCAGTCCAGATGCCATCTGTGGCATCTGGGCAATGGCTTACCCAAGTTGCACACTAGGGTGTCCTTTGGTTATTCTTTAATTCACGGAGAAGAGCTTTTATTAATAAAACCAGGCACTTCTGTTGCCTCTCCCCGTTACAGTGGAACGGTTCTCTTTCTCATGAGCATGACCGTGTCTTGTAAAGAGAACAGAGACCTTGGGGACTGGAGGAGGTGGTTGCATCTAGAGCTGTGCCTGATGACTGTGCTTTCTCCCAGGCTGTGGCTGAGCTGGAGCTGGGGCAAGTGCCAGGCTCCTGGGGGCCCCATCCCAAAGGGGGTCTTTGTCCTGGAGGTTACCATTCTCTCCCACCCACCCCCACTGGGCACACACACCCCAGTTTGAAGACTTTTGTCACAGGGCTGTTGGCTAAGAATATCTTGGGAGCTGAAGGCTTTGAAAATAAGGAGGAATGGTCTTGATAACATGCCCTCCCCCACCCCCCACATCTCCCAATTTATGGTTTTGTGTTGTTTTCATTCAAGTGAGAAGAGAGTCAGAAAATTTTCCCTGAGGGTTGAAAAAAGAATCCTCCTTTTGATTGTTTTTCTCTTAAGAAAAAGGCATCCCTCCAAGTTCTAGCCTTTCTATTAATACTAGGAAGGAAGAGAACCACGGTGCCTCCCTGGCCCGACCACTGGCCATAGCCTCTCTGTGGGTGTGGGTTCTGTGCCCACTAGCCAGCTGTCTTTCCAGCCTGGTGGTCGGTGGTGGCCGATTAATTGAAATGAGGTCTCCTGCCCTTATTTGGAGTGGTTAGCACACCAAAAGCATGGAAATTAATAACAATGGCAACAAAAGTATGTTGTAATAAGTAACCACATACAGACCCCAATTATCACTTTGTGAGCTTGCATCACTGGATGTGGGCACATGAACCTCTCCCCATGAGGACAGCTGCCCTCAGTTTAATGAACAAAGCCAGTTGGTTGAGAACCAAATCTTCAGTCCAGATGCCACCTGTGGCATCTGGGCAATGGCTTACCCAAGTTGCACACTAGGGTGTCCTTTGGTTATTCTTTAATTCACGGAGAAGAGCTTTTATTAATAAAACCAGGCACTTCTGTTGCCTCTCCCCGTTACAGTGGAACGGTTCTCTTTCTCATGAGCATGACCGTGTCTTGTAAAGAGAACAGAGACCTTGGGGACTGGAGGAGGTGGTTGCATCTAGAGCTGTGCCTGATGACTGTGCTTTCTCCCAGGCTGTGGCTGAGCTGGAGCTGGGGCAAGTGCCAGGCTCCTGGGGGCCCCATCCCAAAGGGGGTCTTTGTCCTGGAGGTTACCATTCTCTCCCTTACAATTCTCTGACCCAGTTCTCCGGCGGGGGTATTTGTCCTCAGTAACTGCTCTCCCTTCATTCCCAGGCCTGGCTCTTGCCTTCAGGGCATCCAGAGACCTAGAGGTCTTCCCATCCCTGGAGGGGTCTGTCACCTCCCAGCCCCGGGGACCCTTAGTGCATGGACTAGCCTTTGCCTAACCTCTTCAGTCACTCTCCAGAGTCTTGAGGATACCTATGGCAAACAGCAGCATTTGTTTTAAATTAATACCAGGGGGAGAGAAGTGAGCCCGAGATGGTCTTGACCCAGAGAGAGACCAGACCTCCTGAGCCCAGAGTTGGGGAGAGACCACTCAGGCCTGAGTAGCTCAAGGGGGTCCACAACAGATGCTGATGTGCCCTTGCCACCCAGAACACTCACACTCACATGCTGCTGATCTTTCTCTTTCAGAGATTTGAAACCTGAAAATATCCTGTTAGACGATTACGGTAAGTCAGGCAGCGGACCCAGGGATCTGTTCCCAGCTCTGTAGCTGAGCGTCACAAGCCAAATTGAGCGGGAGGCTTCCAACAGAGACTCAGAGATGCTGACCCTGGGTCCTCGGGAGGGCAGAGGGTGTGGACACAGCTCCTACTTGGCGAAGAAGGATGTGGCTCAGCAGCTGGTGGAGGAGAGGGAGAGAAAGGGAGCCAGCACTGAGTGAGGAGTCGGGGGTTCCAGAGACTCTGGGCAAACATTTAGCTCTCACACAACTTCCCTCACCCCATCTTTCTAGTCTGTGAAATGGAAACATGGGCCTTGCCCTGCCTTCTTCAGATGGTGGAGGATGGTGCTGAGGTTCTGACGAGATACCTTGATAAGTTGTTTCATCAACTGTGTGTGCGTGCTTAGTCGCTCAGTCCTGTCGACTCTTTGCGACCCCATGGACTGTAGCCCACCAACCTCTGTCCATGGGATTCTCCAGGCAAGACTACTGGAGTGGGCTGCCATTTCCTTCTCCAAGGGATCTTCCTGACCCGGGGATTGAACCCGGGTCTCCTGCATTGAAGCTGGCCTCTTTATCATCTGAGCCACCAGGGAAGCCAGCCATAGCATGTTAGGTATTATTACTTGTCTGTCATCATTGTTATTTTCATGTGTGTCTGTGCACACACACATGGATAACAAAGCCACCACAGGAGCCCCTCACGACTATTTCGACTCTCACACCTGGGAAAGGGTTGTCACATCTTCTATCTAACTAAATTGTCCCATCTTTACAGAGGGAGCAGGGCCAGTTGACCCTGTGCCCATTTTACAGATGATAAGATTGAGGCTCAGAGGAGCCTACTCACCAAGGCCACCCACAAAAATCAGTGGGGAGTGGAAACCTGAAAGTAGGTCTCCCTGCCAGCAAGTCCCAGGCCAAGGGGAAGGAAGGGGAGGGAGAAGACCTGGAGAAGAGGTTTGAGTGGGATGCTGTTGGGCAGAGGGCTCAGGGCCCACTGCCCCTCTGTGTATGCGCCCAGAGACCCCAGGGAACTCAGAACCATGCCTACCACCAATCTATCATCCAACATGTTGAATCTGCATGCTCTCTCCCCTAACACCACTCCTGCCTTCATCGGGGGCCACCGAGCCAGTGGGCTTCACTCAGCCCCAGCCTCTTGGGGTGGCTCCCTGCTTTGGGCCTCGTTGAAGTCCAGTCTGGGGAGGGGGGTCAGTGTTCCTTCCTGCAGGGTCAGATGAGGCCATAACCCTTCCAAGTGGGCTGCTGGAAGAGACAGTGCCAAGGCACGCTCTCAGCACGGGGTCGTCTCTGACTTTTGGGGGTCAGTTCTGGCCTGGGAGCTCCAATGCCACCTCCCAGTCTCTGCTGGTCTGGGCGGCAGGTTCTCCAAAAGGAAACAAACAAGCAACTCCAAAGACCAACAAGGCAGAACAGGGAGTTGCTTCCCAAGTTGCTTTGTGATTTTTCCCCTTAAGCAAATTGTTGCAAAATGTCAGGAGAATCTCACATTTTCCCATGAAGCAATCCCAGAATCGGGCCAAGGCATCTTAAACTTTGTGATGTTAGCCTCCCAGAAGCCCCTTAGGGCATTTTATGAGGCTGTCCGCCATCTTCCAGCCGAATGCAGGGGTCCTATTGCATCTTTTTGTTTTTCTCCCTAAAAGTAATAATTTACCCCTGACCTGTGACACCTGACTCTTGCAATAGTCCACAGTCACCCTGCGTGGCCAACTGGGTACCACTCTTCTTGGGACAAATGAAAGGCGAGGGCCCCGTAGCAAGTCTAGGGTCCTGCCCAGGGTGGACCAGATGTCCACAGGGTCATCCCAGGGGCCTGCTGACCCTGCTGTCCCCCATCAGGCCACATCAGGATCTCGGACCTGGGCCTGGCCGTGAAGATCCCCGAGGGAGACCTGATCCGTGGCCGGGTGGGCACCGTCGGCTACATGGGTGAGTATAGGATGGCTCCTCTCCAGGCTGGGCCCTTGGAGCCACTGGCCTCTTTGTGTAACTTGCAGAAGTAGTCACGTGGGAGGCGGGAAGTTGCAGCCAGGGTCGGGGAAGTGTTGGGGCCCCAGGGTGTCTTGACTATACTGAGTTCTGCAGCCCCCACCCCCAGATCCACCTGTGTCTCAAAGCCAAAGCCCTCCCAGGGCAGTTTCAGAGCTGACACACACAGTTGCCTGGGGTGTGGGGAAGTAGGGGTCTGGTGAATTGACAGACATCCTTTCAGAGTGACCTCAAGAAGGGGAGGGGGAGGTCATTAGGAAGGGCCCAGAAAGGAGACGAGCACGCCACCTACTGTGTCACAAAGCCCCGTTCTAAGCAGGGACCAGCCTTGGCTCCTGCCCTGTGTCCCCTGAGCCTTCTCTGAGACGGTTGCCCTGGAGCTACACCGGTCCCCTGGGGTCTGCCTTCCAAATAGGGATATTCCTCAGGCATCTTCCTGTATACCTCACACACAACCACCTGCTCACCCCAGGAGGCAGGGGACTCGAGAAAGCTCCAAGGGACAGGGACACTGTTGTCCTCCTCTGGGCTCATGCCAGCAGCACACACTCCAGGTTCTGGACTCTGGTGTCAGAGGGTCCTTTTCAGATTGCATGATATTGGGGGACCCATGGGGTATGCGTCTATGTGTATGTAGGAGGTATGTATACCTATGTGAATGCTTACGGATGGGTGGATGGATAGATGATCGATAGGTGATAGATAATGGATGGATGATGGATGACTGGGCTAATAAATGGATGGATAGATGATGAATGGATGGATAGATGATGAATGGATGAATAGATGATGGATGGGTGTTGGATGGATGGATGATGGGTAGATGGATGGGTGTTGGATGGGTGGATGAGTGATGGATAGATGATGGATGGATGGTGATGGATGGATAGATAGATGATAGGTGGATGGATGATGGTTGGATGGATGATGGGTGGATATATGATGGATGGATGGATGATGGGTGGGTGGATGGATGGGTGATGGGTGGATGGGTGAGTGATGGATAGATGATGGATGGATGGGTGATGGATGGATGATGGATGGATGGATGATGGGTAGATCGATGGGTGATGGATGGATAGACAGATGATGGATGGATGGGTGATATGGATAGATGATGGATGGATGATGGATGGATGGATGGATGATGGTGGATGGATGGGAGATGGATGGATGGGTGAGTGATGGATAGATGATGGACGGATAGATAGATGATAGAAGGATGGATGGGTGATGGATAGATGATGGATGGATGGATGGATGGATGATGGGTGGATGGATGGATGATGGGTGGATGAGATGGATGGATGGATGATGGGTGGATGGATGGGTGATGGATGGATGGGTGAGTGATGGAAAGATGATGGATGGATGGGTGATGGATGGATGGGTGACAGATGGATAGATAGATGATAGATGGATGGATGGGTGATGGATGGATGATGGATGGATGGGTGGATGGATGGGTGATGGGTGGATGGATGATGGGTGGATGGATGGACGATGGGTGGATGGATGGACGATGGGTGGATGGATGGGTGATGGGTGGATGGATGGATGATGGGTGGATGGATGATGGATGGATGGGTGATGGGTGGATGGATGATGGGTGGATGGATGGGTGATGGGTGATGGGTGGATGGGTGATGGGTGGATGGATGGGTGAGTGATGGATAGATAAATCCATCTGTGTACTCTATGTGTGCCTGCTTGGGCATCTGTGTCATCTTCTCGTGCACAGTGTCTGCACCCATGTAGATACATTTGCCTTCCTGGATGTATGTGGCCTGCCTATCTTCTCTTGCACTTCTCTAGTGAATCTATAATCCATTTAATCAAAGTGTTAGGGAAGTCATGATGAGACATTGTTGGAATTCCAGACACATTTAAAATCATCTTTACTTTGGGTGGACACACTTTCATTCTTTGAAACGAATATGTGTGCAACATCTACCGTATGCCAGGCATTGTACCTGTTACCAGGAACAGCAGGGAATGAGGTGGCTCACAGTCTAGTGGGGGAGATGTCAAGGGAACGGGCTGTTTTCATCCACCATGGTCAGGCGTCTGAAGCCACAGTCAGAGTCCTTTGGGAGTGCAGAGAAGAGCAACCAAGGCAGGCTCCCTGGAAGAGGAGGTATTTCTAGCAGTTGGTGGGCAGGAGTCAGCAGTGGGAAGGGATCCCAGCTGTGGAGCCCCAGGCCTCCTGTGAGCAGCACCATCACTCCTGGTTGCAGGACGTCCTGAGGCCCCATTAGCATCCCAGTCCTGGCCCCACGTGCCTGGCTCTGACCCACCACCAGCTGTCTCTCACCTCCCCTGGATCTCCTGCTCTGCCCCCAGCTCCAGAGGTCCTGAACAACCAGAGGTACGGCCTGAGCCCTGACTACTGGGGTCTGGGCTGCCTCATCTACGAGATGATCGAGGGCCAGTCGCCCTTCCGCGGCCGCAAGGAGAAGGTGAAGAGGGAGGAGGTGGACCGCCGGGTGTTGGAGACAGAGGAGGTGTACTCACACAAGTTCTCCGAGGAGGCCAAGTCCATCTGCAAAATGGTGAGCTCTGGTGAGCCAGACATCGCCCCAGGGCCAGTGTGCAATGCCGGCCCCCCTCCCGGCCCCTAGCCAAGAACAGCAAACAGGCAGATGGGAGCAGGGGTAGGGCATGCTAGGGTGTGGACGATGAAGCCACCGGGTCTGTGAACTGGGGCGGTTGACAGACACTTCCAGGAGGGAGCCTGGGGTGGGGCAGGGAGGCTCTGTGACAAGGGAGGGGGGCCACGGTGAGCAAGGGGAGATACCCTTATGTCCAGCTCTGAGGGGAAGTCAGCATGGGGGAGGAAGGGGATGCTCCCAGCTGGTCTCCAAGATACAAAGGCATCAGGACAGCCCCTACCCTGGACCTTGGGCCTCCTGTTCCGTCCAGCTCTGGATCCCTGGTGCTTCTCTGGGGCCAGGGGCTGCAGGCGGTGAGTGGTGATAGTCTTGGCCTTCGAACATCATTTAATCAAGTTTTCCACCCACTACATGGAATGTTGGTCACACCTGCTGAAGTCCTGAGTGACAGCGTCCATGGAGAGAGAATTTGACCCGGCCCCAGACAGAGCTCACTCAGGGTGTGGCCTTTAGCCAGGCTAGTGGGCAGGGGCCAGACTGGGGGCCTGGAAGCTGAATAGAGGAAGTGGGGTGGCAGGACCTCAAAGTGAAGCTGGAGAGAGTCTGCCCCTGGACCGAGGCCCTTCTCCTCGGTTCCGGCGGGCCCGCTTCCTTCCCTGCTGGGCTCTCTGGCTCCCGAGTCCCACCTGTGCCCCCCAGGGCCCTCTTCCCTCTGGCTTCAGTGCTGCTGTGCTGGCAGATGCCCTCTAACGCCAGCCACGCGGGGACAGGAAGGGCCTGAGCACCCAACACTTGGCACCTGGGAGCCCCCAGGTCCCTTCCTCTGCCCTGCAACTAGAACAGCAAGACAGGGGTCTGACCCTCGGGGTCTGAAATGTGAACGTCAACAACCAGGCCGGAGTCCAGGGAAAGGCAAGCCTGGGAAGCTGATGACAAGTAGCGAAGTTTCTGCCTCTAGAAAACCCGAGGCTGCACTGCTAGGGGCCCCGGAGCCATGTGGCCTAGTTCCCGCCCCCAGAAGGCCGCCCTCCTGGAGCCGGCCACCCGCTGCCTGACCACTTCCTCTCACCAGCCTCAGCCTGACGTCACAGAGGCACAGGGAGAAGGATTTGGCCCAGAGCTGCCATCTGATCACTTCCAAAGAGGAACCATAGATCTGTCATTTGCGTGAGTGAGAGACTGTGAGGGAGACATGGCGTGTACACAAGCAAACACACGCCTGGACCACATGCCCGGGCCAGGCTGCAGCTGGGCGGCCTCCAAGGAAGCAGGTAGTCACGGCAGCCGGAGCTGGGATAGGGGGCAAGAGGAGCAAGGCAGCAAAAGGCAGGTACATGGAAGTGTGGGGTACCCTAGGGGATGGTTGAAAACCGGGGGGGTCGAGAGGGAAGCCAACAGCACTTGGTTGATGCTGCAACCAGGTACCTATCCACGGGGACCTAACTGAGTGAGGGACGGAAAGTCAGCGCATCATCAAATAGGTCAGGAATTCAGAGAAGCAGTTCTTGAGAGACCCTGAGAGCAACAGGGGACCCGCTGGCAGGACAGAGGCACAGAGGGCCCCCTGCCCACAGTCATCGGCTCTGGGGCACTACCGTTCCTCTGCTGCCCCCTGGTGGCCACTCCAGGGAAGGCGGCAGCTGAGCCTGGGTCTCCAGGCGGACCTGGGCTCACAGGTGCAAATGTCAAAAGCAAGGTCCCCTCGTCTTTCTCAGCTAGAAGAACCTCTGGAGGCCTCTGGTCTTGCTCTGCCTCCTTGCAAATGACCCTGAGGTCTTGGAATTCTGATCTAGGACTTCTTCCATGCCCTAACCTCAACCCATCTGGTCTGGCAGCCAGGCTTGCCCTGTCACCACCAAGGGACACCAGGCCCAGGACATAGCAGGGCCTGATCGTAAGGAGACCACGGAGGTCCTGGGCCGCTCCAGCCCTGCCTACTGAGGAAGACTTTCCTACAAACAGCAATAAAGTCAGTCCGCAGCCTCCATTCTACCTGAGCAGTCACAAGACCCCCTTCCCTGCCCTTGTGGTCCAGGAGTGCACGCCTCTCATTGTCCTGTCTCCTGGGTCCAGTCCCTAAGCCCAGACCTCAGCCCCCACCTTTATTAGGCCCCTGCTGAGTCCCAGCACTGGTCCTTCCCCATGCCCTGTATCCCTCTCAGTCTCACCCATCCTTCCAGCCCATCTCTAGTCATCCTCCTCCAGGAAGCCCTCTCTGCCTGCCCCATCACCCTTAGCTCACACCATTTCTGTCTCTTGCTTCTCCTGGTTTATACCTAGTATAATATTTGTAAACTCTTGACCTGATGCCTAGGCTGCAAATAGGCAACACATGGGTGGGTGTTTATTTTAGCTGAACAGTGTTTTAGAAAAAAGTGAATAGTGGGTTAATTGCCAAGATTTTTAAATGGGGCAAAATCACATAAAAACCTGGATTTTCTGGCCTCTTTTGCAAAAAGCAGAAGCCCTGGACACCTGCCAACATTCCTGCCTGGCAGGAGCTGAGGGACAGCCTGACATGGCCCATGCAGCCAGCCCTCAACTTCTACCCTCACTGTGTCATCTGCCTGGCCAACCCCTGCAGCCTCTGGGGCCTGCAGCCCAGAGATTTCTCGGAGACAAGCAGAGCCCAGAAGAAGGACAGGAGTGGCCCCGAGCCACCAGTCCACGGGGCCAAGCCCGCCGGCGGGGGGGGCGGGGGGATCAATAGACCGAGTCGGGCGACTTTGTGAGCAGCTAGCTCGTGGCTCCGTCTCTTCAAGGCTCACCCCACTGTCCGCTTTCACTCCTTAATTTTGAGGGGAGCAGTCCCAGCAAGTCTCCCCTCCAGACCGTGGACCCCAGGAGGCCCCCTGCCTCTCATAACGAGCATGTGCAGAGGGCACCAGGACGCTGGTAAAAGAAAGGGCTGGACTCCCTCCAAGGTGCGGGCCGCCCACTTTGATTTCAGTCTTGAAGCAGACAGTTAGATTCCAACTGTGTCCTCGGGGGAGTGCTCAGTGTGGCGGGCAGGAGAGACAGCGGGCAGCGACCCTGGGGCTGGGGAGGGGGCTGACGCCCTGCAATCATGTTGGGACCCCGCCTCATCTTCAGCTGTGGCCTGGCCCGCCCCCTCCCTTCCGCCTCCCCAGACCTGCTTCCATCCTTGGCTCCCCACCACCTCTGTGTTAAAACCCCACCCCCAGACCTGGCCTTCAGGACCCTCCCTCTCGCCTCCCCGGCCGGTCCGGTCCTCTTGACTCTGACCCACCTCTCTCACCCCCATCCTTCCCTCAGACTCAAAGATGAGTGTTCTCCACGCTCGCCCTGCTCACACTGTGACAGGTCCCTCCAGTGCCTTCTGCCCGCTTCGAAAGCCTGTCTCAGACGCCCCCTCCCCAGACCACCTCCTGACCCCTCAGCTAGCAGCCAGTTCTCATTTCCGCCGCCACCGTGGTGTCCTATCTGCCTTGCCCTGATGGGTCCTCTTAACATGACTTTGCTGAGGCCAGACCCTCAGCATCCCGTCTCTCCGCACCTACTGGGTACGAGTCTGCCATGTACCTAGGAATCTAGTAAAAGAATGAGAAAGCCCACAGACCAGTCTTTGCCCTTTGTAGCTTACCTGGAGCAGAAGAGGGGATGCCAGTTCAGCACACATTAGTGGGTGCCAGGTACGCACCAGGCATGGGCCATGCTGTCGTGGGCAGAATCAGACAGGACTCCTGCTCTCCTGAAGGTTCCAGGCATCTGAGCACACTGGAATCCTGGGACCACTAAGTACCCCGCAGTTCAGGAGGTCCTCTGAATCAGGGTAGAGCAGTGTCTGATGGGAACCTGGGGTGGCCCAGGCCTGGTGGATGCGAAAGAAGGGATGTCTTGGCTGGGGATGGCTCGGGGATTCTTGTGTGAAAGGGAGGTGATCACAGACTCTCCAAAGCCCCTCTGCCCATTGGGCCTCTGGGCAGGAGGAAAGGCCCCTCCCACCCCCCACCCCCCGCCAGGCAAGTCCTCATGGGGCTCTCCTGTCGCAGCTGCTCACCAAAGATGCGAAGCAGAGGCTGGGCTGCCAGGAGGAAGGGGCCGCGGAGGTCAAGAGACACCCCTTCTTCAGGAACATGAATTTCAAGCGCTTAGAGGCCGGGATGTTGGATCCCCCCTTTATTCCAGATGTGAGTAGCTCCCCAGCCTGGATTGAGCCCGTGCACTGGTTTACGACCTTCGACTTTGCTAAACATCTGTGCAGGGCCCTGGACCAGGGGCTGAGCCCTGTGGCCAGGGGGTGGCTCCCATCTGCCAGTAGTAGAGCATTGCCTGGTCTGGGGGGAGTCTTCATCACCTCAGTGAAGTTTTCATTTCCAGATTCCCAGACTCCCAGAACCCCTGGGAGCCCTCCCCCTCCAACCTTGAACTCCCAGAGGGCAGGGCCCGGGTTTGTCTCTCTGAGTCCCTGAACTGCAGCCCCAGAGCATGTTTGGTGGACAAGTGAGATGAAAGAGATCACCAGGGTTACAGCATCAGGTCCATAGCAGCACTGACGACAGCCTCATGGCCCAGTGCCTCGATTGTCCCCATTCTGCAGGCGAGGAAACTGAGGCCTCCAGGGGTTAATATGACTTTCCCAGACCTCAGCCCAGGTCTGTGTGTGGCAGACAAGCCTGCATGGCGACCCACCACCCCCCGACTGGCCTCTGATGTGGGAAGGGCCAGAGTGGTCCTCCTGAGACATCCCCCATCATAGCCTGTGGGTCAGTGATGGCAGGAAGGGGCTTGAGTTCTCATCATCCCAACTGGGGGCCCTTTGGTCCCTCTTAGCCAGGGCAGCCAGGTTCCCAGGGAAGGGGGGAGGCCCTGGGAGACCACCCCTGCCTCCCCCCCCATTCAAATCCCTCCCTCCCCAGCCCCGGGCCGTGTACTGCAAGGACGTGTTGGACATCGAGCAGTTCTCCACCGTGAAGGGCGTCAACCTGGACCACACGGACGACGACTTCTACTCCAAGTTCTCCACGGGCTCCGTGCCCATCCCATGGCAAAGTGAGGTGAGCACGGTGGGGTCCTCGGCTTCACCCCAAAGCGGGGGCGGGGCTGCTCTGAGGGCAGAAAGGGTCGGCGAGGAGGGGGGGTGTCCCAGTGGGCAGACTGGGGTGTGGCGTGGTGCTGGCGTGGCGGGGAGAGGAGGCCTATCCGGATGACTCTGGAGAAGCGTGGCTGGGAAACGGGCAGCAGCTGGAGGCCCAAGGGGGATGATGGAGTCGGGGCAGCTATCTGAGGACTGAAGCTGCAGCAGCAGGCAAAACTGCATCCCTCCTTTGGGGATCTTAGTGGCGGGTGAGCCAACAAAGTGCTCCCATTACCCCCACTGCACACTGGGGGATGGAGCCCAGTCCGAGCTGGTTCGCGTGAGATAGAAATGATGGGGCGGTCGGCCTGCAGCCCTGGAGCGGGATGGTCCAGAACACGGGTGGAGGAGGAGCTGAGGGCGGCTGGAAGATGAGCGCCTCCATCCCACCCTCTGTGCCTGGCTTCTGTCTTCTGAGTGAGGGCGGCTCGCCGGGTGGTCCGGGAGAGGCAGTGGACAGGCGGGAGGCTGTCAGGGTCTCAGCCCAGGCGAGTGGAGGGCCTGGCAGGACCAGGCTCGGGACCATGCCGCCCACGGCCGGGCTGCTGGGCTGCCTGTCCCCTCGGGATGACCTGGACAGCCCCTCGCCCTGCCTGTGTTTTGACCGCTTCCCCAGATGATAGAGACAGAGTGCTTTAAGGAGCTGAACGTGTTCGGACCCCACGGTACCCTCTCAGCGGACCTGAACCGAAGCCACCCTCCGGAACCGCCAAAGAAAGGGCTGCTCCAGAGGCTCTTCAAACGTCAGGTGAGACCCTTGCCCCCAGCCCAACCTGGATGCCCTGGTCTCAGCTCCGGGAACCCCAGGCCTGACCATCCATAGGACTGAGACCAACTTGCGGGCTGGGGAGACGGGGAGGTTGCAGCTGCAGCCTGGAAGGACAGGCAGCCTGTGCGAAGTGCCTTGAAACCCACTGGTTGATGGGGTTCCCAGAGCGGAGGGGCACACCCAAAGTTGACCCTTTGTCAGGGTTCCTCAGCCTCAGCACTGTTGATGCGTTAGGTTTATTCTTTGTCATTGGCCTGTCCTATGCCTTCAGGGGTTTAGCAGCACCCCTGGCCTCCAGCCAGTAGATGGCAGTAGCATCCACTCCCTTGTGTTGGTCAAATATGTCCCCAGGGCCTGGGGACAAAACGCCCCTGGTTGAGAGTCCTTGTAAAGGCGACACCAGTTACGCATGCGAAGATTTGACAAAGAACAGGTGTACGTGGCATTGGAGAGGCGATCCCCACAGAACCTCGGGGCTCCTGAGCAGGAGCCCTGTAGATGGATGCTGTGCCTTACCGCCAGCAGCCAGAGGAGACTCAGGAAAAGGTATTCTTCTCTGAGACTGGTCTTGGATGAAGGTTGGTGGGGCCAAATGGGAGAAATGTCCCAGGCAGGACCAGGCAGGCCTTTGAGAGAGAGAGACCCCTGCCCTCATCCCTGCCACCAAGAAGGGGGGAGCCATCATAGCACCCCCTCCTGGCCTGGCCCTTTAAGAAGGTGTGGTCCCATCCCCAGGCCTGTGAGGCCCCGGTTCCTTCCTTTCCTCTTTCCCGGCCCACAGGAGCAGCCCCTGTCCCCAGGGGGATGAAGAGGTAAAGGCAGGTGCAGCTCTGTCCCCAGCCCTTGGCATCCCACCTCCCTCCCTCTTAAATAACAGGGAAGAGGTGGCTGTTTGTGGCACTCCACTGTGGGCCGGGCCCTGTGCTGAGTGCTTTTTGAAGGTGTCGCTTATTTAATCTTCATAAAACCCCAGGCCTCCATTCAACTATTCATTCCGCCAATATGTGTTGAGAACCTATTCGTGCTAGACTGTTACCTGAGGACTTAAGATGCAGCAGCAGGGAAAACTCTATCCCTCCTTTGGGGACCCTAGTGGAGGGTAAGCCCTGGAAGTGCTCCCATCACCCCATTTCACAGAGGAGGAAACTGAGGCTGAGAGCAGTCAGGGAACTTGCTCAAGGTCACGCAGCCTGTGAGCCCACACGGATGATCTGGAATGACACGGTGGGGAGCATCGATCTGGCAGAATCCAGAGAGAAAATGCAGACTGAGGGCCCAAGTTTACAGTTTTATCTAGAAACTTCGTACACATTCCACAAACATACTCATCTCCGCCTACTATAAAAATATAATTTTCAAATGCCTCCATCAAGTAAAATCGAAATTCCAGACAGAAATGACCCCCATCTCTGACATGGACTAGCACCCCAGGACAGCCCCGGGTTCTGGGACAGGCGTTTGCTATGGTAGCTCACAGTCTGAGTTCAAATCCAGCCCTGACCCCTTCTCGGTTGGGCGGCGGCTCACTGACCCTCTCCCAGCCTCTGTTTGCCCACCAGAAAATGCAGGATGGAGATGCTCGCTGCCCCGGGTGGGAAGAGGACTTAGTGGGGTGGAGAACAGTAGCCTCAGCATGAGCCCGAAACACCACCAACCAGGGCAGCAGACGCCCGGATCTCTCTTCTCCTGGGATGGGGTGCTGAGAGACTGCCGGGGGACTGAGGATGAGCAGCTCATGGTTCCAGAGCCGGGCAGCCCAGAGAGCCCTTTGTATACACAGCCTTGTTGCCTTTTTCCAACAGCCCCGGGCACACGTGGCTCCTACCCCACCTTACAAAGGCCAGGCAACCGAGGGAGTTAGACACTTGCTCAAGGTCACTCAGCTCAGAAGTGGCACATTTAGGGTTTGAACCGGCAGCCTAACTCCAGGCCAGCAGGTCTAACCATGGACATATTAATACAGAGGGACCGCCTCCTCCCTGCCTTGGGCTTCTGTGAATTCCATAGCTTCTCCCAGGCACCAGGAGAAGCCCNACTCAGCTAAGAAGTGGCACATTTAGGGTTTGAACCGGCAGCCTAACTCCAGGCCAGCAGGTCTAACCATGGACATATTAATACAGAGGGACCGCCTCCTCCCTGCCTTGGGCTTCTGTGAATTCCATAGCTTCTCCCAGGCACCAGGAGAAGCCCTCCGCCCGCAGGGTGCTCTGTGAACCTAGGCCTGCGGGGGGGAAACAGAAGGCAGCAGAAAGCAAGAGGGAGGGCTGGTTACCCGAGCACTCCTCTGGCTCAGGTTCTGAGGCCCCCATGAGGCAAGGGCCCCAGGGCCTGACCCTGCAGTGACTGACTTGCTCTCTCACCTTCTCTCCTCTCTGCTCACCCACCCTCCCAGCATCAGAACAATTCCAAGAGTTCACCCAATTCCAAGACCAGTTTTAACCACCACATCAATTCAAACCACGTGAGTTCAAACTCCACTGGAAGCAGCTAGTTGCAGCTCTGGCCTGAAGTCCACGGTGGGACCAGCCTGGACCCTTCTTAGAAGCGGACTTGCGACCGGAGGCGCTCCCACCCCGGCGGGCGGGTGCGGAAGCCCTCCAGGAGCCGGGGAAGGAGGCCGCCCACCCCTGAGACCGGGAGCCTCCCAGTTCCCCAAAGAGATTTCCACTCAGGTCTGTGTTCGGAGGCGGCCCTTGAGCCGAGATGGATTGGACGTGTCTCTGGCGAACATTGCAATAGAAATCCAGTCGGATACAACAACTTGCACGTATTTTAATAGCATCCTAATAACTAGAACTGAATTTTGTCTTTATTATTTTTAAAGAAAAGTTTTGTAAATTTCTCTATTGTCTCAGTTTACATTTTGTATATTTGTATTTAAAAGAAAGTCAGACTTTGAGGGTGTATATTTTCTGTGCAGCCACTGTTAAGCCATGTGTTTTAAGACATTTTAGAGGGGGGTTGGTGGGGGGGGGATTTACAACAACAATGAAAAAATGTGACTCAAGACTTCCAGAGCCTCAAATGAGAAAATGTTTTTATTAAATGTAGAAAATGATCCACACTTCACCTTTAAAGGATTGGTTGTATCCTCTCTATAAGCTTTTCCTCCCATTGGCAGCCTCATTCTGTTGGCTTGTAACCATCTGAATTAAATAACACTGGGACATCACCCCCAGCCAGAATATCTTCCGTTGGGTGCATGGAGTCACCTGAGCTCTGCTCCATCAAGACATGCACTTTCCCTTTGGGGGCGCACGATGCCACCATTGCTTCAGCCTCGGCCTCCTCTTCCTTCTGGAAGGCAGCCAGTACTTGGAGCTGAGAGTCTTCAGCACAATGGTGTCTAGGTCTCTTTCTTTCTGAGCAGGTTCTGACTGCTGAAGCCAGTATGTTTTCAAGAGTCTTGTATTTGGGGATTATTCTATTTTTAAGAGACACATAGCAAGGATAAGTAGTCATGGAACCCCAAGAGTCCCAAGCCCTTCCGGCCCATGGAAGCATCAGCGGCAGAGGTCTTGGGTTTGTAGAGGGGAGAGTGGTTTGCCCAGGGCCTCCAGGCACATCCCTTGAGTATATATGGGATCAGAGGGTCTTGAGAGCTTCAAGGGCCCCCATAAATTCATTGGCCCAGGTGACATGGATGGATGGATGGATGTGATTGGTTCTCCAAGCAAATGGGAGAGGCTGGGCCACCAAAGAAGCCCAGGACCCACCGTCCCTTCTGGGCGAGGGAGGGCAGAGGCACGTATTAACTGAAGAGGGTCTTGAGAGCTTCGAGGGCCCCCATAAATTCATTGGCCCAGGTGACATGGATGGATGGATGGATGGATGTGGTTGGTTCTCCAAGCAAATGGGAGAGGCTGGGCCACCAAAGAAGCCCAGGACCCACCGTCCCTTCTGGGCGAGGGAGGGCAGAGGCACGTATTAACTGGGCATCTCAAATCTCCAGGCACAAGCGGCCCCAGGAGGACGTGGTGGCTTTGCCAGCCCAGGGCCTCTAAAAGGCCCTTTGAGCCTGGCCATCCAGCCCCAGGGTGCCTTTCCCTGCTGCCTTCACAAGATGACAAGGAGCAAACCCTCCTTTGCTTCCACTCCCGGATTGGGTGAGAGGTCAACCTCCCACGCTCTCCTGCCTGCGCGGTTGGCCTCAGTCAGACCCGGTCTCAGCTACCAGGCAGCTACCTGGGTTTCTCCCGGCGTGGGCCCTGTACTTCCTGCAGCGACATCTCCCATCAAAATACAGCTCCGGGCTCCACCCCAAACCCACAGAACGGGGTTCTCGGGGTAGGTCCAGGAACCCGCTTCTTCAAAAAGCTTGCCAGGTCATTCTATTGCACCCCAGAGTGTGAGAACCATGGCCTCAGGCCACCCGTGGGGCTTCCAATTCTCCCAAACTTACTTCTCTAGGTGACCGGGCAGCTTTGGAGCTTGAGGTTTCAGGAAGAGAGAGAAGCCAGTGTGTCCTCTTGTGTGTAGGTCCCATGCTCCTTCCCCAAACCTTGCCACTAGGTCTGGGCACTAGACAGGCGCCTGACCTTTGCAACTGACCATTTTGAGGCCATTTTACAAGCAAAGAGGAGCCAGGAAACAGTTGGGCTTCCCTCAGATCCCTTTAATATACAGTATTATTTTCTTCAAGACCGGCTCATGTCTCCAAGGCTGCTTCCCTTCCCTTTCCTGGGCTGAGTACAAGATGAATACAAACAGCCATACTGATTTTTTGCTGAGGAAGTGAAGCTCTTTGACCAGTATTTTAAGATCCTCGAGCTCTGACTGACCTTCCTTTCTTAATGAAAAGAGGGACAGTCATCCCGCTGGGATAGTCACCAGCCCACTCCAACACCCTCCTGTCCGGAAGTTTCATTCATTTTGCCGCATTCACAGTGACTCAAGCTTTTCCAAACGGACTGGTGTGCAGAAGTCAGTCTCTGCACCTCAAAGCCAATGTACTGTCGGTTTGCATTAAGCATCCTCAAGGAGCAAGAAAGAAAGCATGAATCAGTGGGTTTCTACGTTGTGAGAGCAGAGATGCTAAGAGCACAGAGCTTTTCACGGCTCTTAGACTCACAGGCGTCTTCCTTCACAGTCACTATCTGCCCCCAAGCGCCCAGAGGACACAGAGTCAGACTTGCTGGCCTTTGCAATCCTGCTCTTCCTTTAGGCCCATTGCTCTGTACAGAGAAGGGGCATCTTCATTTAGAACAGTGCCTGAAAGTCAGCCCCTCCCCTCGGGGTCCCCACAGGTCCTGCCCCTGGATGCCCCGACCCTGCACCCCACCCCGCCCCAAGCTTCTACTCTGGCTTGTTTTCTATAGCTGCAGTTTTTAAAAGATTGCTTTTAATTAAGAAGAAAACTTCCTACCACCCACCTGTCCAGGATGAGTCATATTTGGACAGCAAGTGGATTTAAATCTTTTTACTGCATTGGAGCTCTTCACGGAAGAGCCTTTCTTCCTCCAAGTCATGACGTCCTCACCAGACCTTCGCTGACTTTGTGCCTTTGATGTGAGACACAAGGTCTCACAGAAGCGTCTCTGCTTCCACTTTTCAGGAGACAAGCCGCTGTACCCGGTGGGATGGGGGTGGTCTCTCTACCATGATCACCATGACCCAGGAGTGTTTCTCAAGCCCCCTGGCAGGGGGTTCTCCCATAATATCCCTCTTAAGATCACAAAGACCCAACCCCACCTTCCTGGAGGATGACACCACCTCCCACAACAACTCATCCTCTGATTTTCTAGGCCTGATCATTACTTTGAAAACCATGAGGCTTCTTGCAAGGGCAGCTGGCTGGCACAGTAGCCAAGTGTTGCTCTGTCTTGAGCAGCCCAGGAGGGCTTCTGTCCTGACATGCACTGCTCTTAGCAAAGGGGAGCCTCGGTCTCGGAGGCCATGCTCCCCAGAAGCTAGCGGTAGGGCCTGGTAGGCGCACGTTTCTCAGGCAGCCCATGGGGGCAAATGGCAGCGAGTTCTGAGATCATGCGTGGGCATGTGGCCTTGGCATTGAAGGCACAAGTGGGATGCGGCTGCTTGCCCTTGAACCTAGCAAGCCCGGATGATGTTGAGGGCCTGCCCTCCGAGAGGCAGGGGGTGTCCATGCTATTCCAAGGTGCCCAGCTCACCATGGAAACTCCTCATCCTTCCACACCCTGTCCTCCCCCTTCCCTCAAAGATTTCCCACCAACTTTCTCACGCGATCTGCTGACCCAGACCTCAGCCCTGCAGCCCCCTGATCTTGGCACCCTAGGCCTCAGCCAAGGGAAATAGTGGCCTTGTCGACCATCAACAGTCCCCAGAGATGAAGAGGGAAGGCCAGTTGGGGTGACACTGGGCTCTCCTCTCAGTTTGCTGTGTGCTTAAGTACCTGGAGGCAACCCCTCTGGTTGTCTCCTGTTCTCTAGCTCCACACTCTGAAGCAGGACCTCCTAACATTTCAGACTTTGTACGGAAAGCATGTGAAATCTTTGTGCATCTCCAAGCACAGGGCTGCGAGTCACGAATGGCAGAGAACTCACGTCTTTCTGATCACAACAGACCCCGACGGTGACACCTCATCCCCCGAGACCCCTTCTGTACCTACAACCAACCAGCCTAGCTTTTCAAGCTCCAGCAGGAGTGAGTGCTCATCAGGTCTAACTTTAAAGGTTTGTGCTGTGGACAGTGGCTAAAACTTTTGAAATGCTAGCTCTCCTTCGGAGGGAAAGACACACCCCAAAAGAAGAATCTAGATGTCTTGCCCCAGTCCATCACTAAGTCATTTTTGTAATAGATCAGAAGCAAGTGTTCTCAATTAGAAGAGCTTCGTGGCTGTTGGTAGTGTGAAAATAATAATCCTTCTAGTATCCAAAGGTTTTCTTTTTTTTTTTTTTCAGGGAAATTTTAACAATGATGAATAAAAATAGTTCCATTCTGGAGGTTGTTCCTGAAGATACCGGCTTTTGTTCTCTTGCTGCTCTGAATCTTTGTATGTTTCCTCGAATATGTCACAGTGCTGCTGTATCTAGATCGAACCACTGTTGTTTTTTTTGGTTTTTTAAGAGAAATAAATTCCTTAATGAAAATACGGTGCATTCTTTCCTTCTGAGCTGTTCTGTTCCTTCTGCCAAAGCCAGCTGCCCCCAAGATGCCAGGACCTGCCACTTCGTTCTCTGAGTTAAACTCATCAGGTGGATGGTTCAGCCCCCCCCAAGGCTGGCCCTATGCTGACCATCCCACCTGCCCACAGCTGGCCCCACTCCAGGGGCCAGGGCTTAAGGAGCCCTTTCTAGGCTGTTTGACTTGGGATCCCAAACCCAGCAGATGGCTCCAGAGTATTCCTGCCACATGAAACCAGGCAGGATGGGGCGAGCGGGCCCGAGTCGGGGCCTGCACCCCGACGTCGGGTGGGGCACCTCCCCCGGCAAGTTTTATCAATACCTGACAGAGGCCATGACTCAGAGCTGGGCTCTGCAGACAGGGCCTCTCCTGGCCTTTCAGCCTCCACGAGCCACACGTTAGAACTGGTCACCAGCACGGCAGGATGGCCTTTGTGCCTCAGAGCCCAGAGTCCCAACCAAGGCCCTGGGACCCCTCAGTCCCCCTCCACCTGCTTGGCCTAGCAGGACAATGAGCAGGCCTTTGGGGGCTAAGTGGGCTCCCCTGGTGGCTCAGCTGGTAAAGAATCCACCTGCAGTGCGGGTAGACCTAGGTTCGATCCCTGGGTTGGGAAGATCCCCTGGAGAAGGGAATGGCTACCCACTCCAGTATTCTGGCCTGGAGAATTCCACGGGCTGTGTAGTCCATGGGGTCGCAGAGTTGGACATGACTGAGCGACTTTCACTTTGGGTGCTCACAACCCTTTACTGACCGTCAGTAGGACCTTGAGAGGCCACGTATCACTGAGTCTCAGTGGCTTCATGTGTAAAATGGGATAACACCCGCCAGGAGTGGAGGATGGAGTGAAGGACTCCTGGAAGATTTGGGAGGACCCTGCGATGCTCAGAACAGAGGCCTCTGTCCTGGAGGACACAGCCACCCTGGCTGTCTTTGGTCCTAGGACAGGGCAGGGGTCCTAGACCCACACGCATCAGCCCCT